GTTCATGCTCTGGACCCTGAAGCTGTTAGGTCCTTGAGACCCTGCCCAAAAATAAGCTCTGTGATATTCATGGCTTATTGTTTCCAGCACACCTGTGAAGTGCAAGATCTTCTCATGGTGGAGGGCAAGAGCATGGGTGGGCAGTGGGTCAGATTGGGGCTTTATCCTAACAGCTTGCACTTGACTCCTGCTTGGCTGATTGGGCAATCACACCTGATTGACTTCCCCTTGCAATAAAGAAATTGTTTGTTTGTTTGTTTTTTTAATTTTCTTTCTTACCCTCTACCAACATCCATCTTTCTGTTGTGTTCTGTTCTTTGGAAAGGAGAGAAACTACGTGGCTTAAAACTGTGAAAAAGGGAAGCAGCAATTAATGCTGAATATTACAGGTTTCAAAGGGGATTTCCTCTGATAATGAGCAGAAAGAAGACTTAAATGCAGGTCCCCCAACACAACCTCGAGTTTTATAACCAGAATGATGAATGTTACGAATCTTATTTTCTGTGCCTTTCTCTCTTTATCTTTTGACTCACTGAATCTTCAGTACTTTATTACACTTTTTGGGAGGTGAATCCCATCGCAGGAGCAAATCCAGATCACCTCCATACTGCCTGGACCCAGTGGCACCAGGTGGGGACATCCAGGATGTGACCCACCAAGGGCTGGATTGTCTGATGTCACATTGAGACCCATCACTCCAGGTTTGCGTTCTCTGGATGAATTCTCTTCACCTGCACAGCTTGTCCCTGAGCTAAAAATGAAAATTATTTTCTTTGCGCTTGGTCTGCAGGTTTGAAGAGATTAGAAATTAAGACAAATGTGAGCAACTGAAACAGCCTTTTGGGGAAAAAAAAGAAAAAAAAAAAAAAGGTTAGAAACCTGGCTCCCTTAAGGGTAATTGCTCAATTCCCTTAGGCTTTAGTGTGACCAGGATTTCACAGAAAGCACTGACTTTTGAAAACAATGGTATGCACTTCAAGTCACCTTTTAGCAGAGGGCAGAATTTTAACTCCTTGCAGCGCCACTTGGCATGATTTTATCCTTACTTGCTCAATCTTTGCTCTTTTTGCCTTAAAGTCCTTAATTTTTTTCCTAGTGTAGTTGGCAGAAAAGCAGAAAGCTTGAAAACATGGCCAGAGAATCTCTGACCAGCTGAGGGTGGCAGGAGCTCTGGGTGCCTCTGGTCCCACACTGCCCCACCAGAACCACGCAGAGCAGGGTGCCCAGCTCCACGTCCTGGCAGCTCCTGGACATCTCCAAGGAGGAGAGCCTATGGCTTCTGGGTCCTTGTGCCAGGGTTCATCACCTGCACAGCTGCCTGGGGGAACCTCCTGTGCTGCACTTTGTGCCCACTGCCTCTGTCCAGGCACTGGGCACCACTGACAGGAATTTGGCTCTGTCCTGTCCTCCTTGCACTCTCCCTTCAGGTATTTATGGACATTGATGAGATGTCTCTGAGCCTCCTCTTCTCCAGATGGAACAGTCCCAGCTCTCTCAGCTTCTACTCGCAGGAGAAGTGTTCCAGTCTGCTGATCATCCCAGTGACCCCATGTTGGACTCCTTCAAGAATGTCCATCTCTCTCTTATACTAGGTGGCCCAAGATTGGACATAGCACGTATCCTTGAAGTTCTGGTGAAAAAAAAAAAATCCAAAAATTCTCCTTTTAAATAAAAATCTCACATTTTAAGGCATTCCAGTGACATTTGAGTACTGGCTCTCTACTGTGTGGCACTCAGTACAGTTAATTTCCAAGGCACAAAGACCATTTAATGCCATGGGCTTGCACAACCTCATGGCCCACCAACAAGCAGGGTGAGCACAGAGATCTGGCCAACCCTGGAAGCTGCCTCTGAAACTTTGCTGTAGTGTGAATGCATAGCCCAGGAGCCGCTCAGAGGCTTGTCAGATTGCTAAAATAGCTCGTGTGGAGGTGCTGACAAAACTGTGCCTTTGCTGCAGTCCAACACCTCCAGTCCTCACGGGGTTATCAGTGACGTTTGACTCCGAAGCATTTTTTTGCTTGCTGCCAATAGCTATTCCCCTTGACCTATTTGCTTTCACATGCTTTCCCTTTGACATGGGTGCTATTTCTTTGCAATATGTAAACATTCAGAAGGATTTCCATGTTTGTTCTTCACCCAGTGAGGCCTGTCTTTCACCGCTAGCTGGAAGAAGTGACATGCACAAGCAGCCATATCATGTACAGCTTAATGGGCTTTTTCCTTTTTCTTTTCTTTTCTTTTCTTTTCTTTTCTTTTCTTTTCTTTTCTTTTCTTTTCTTTTCTT